TTCAGTCTTGTGTGTGGCATTTAGTTAGCACTCTCTAAGTGAGAAAACCTTGTATCAGGGGTAAGCATGTCTTGAATGTATGTAAAAATTGTGAGTTTGGGAAGACTCATGCCATGCGCACACACACACACACACACACACACACACACACACACACACACAAAAAAGTCTAATTGTGAATCAAAAATATAGGGAAGCTGTATTCATAACTTCACTTCTTTTAGTGTCTCAGTTTACGTTTGCTTAGAAGAAAGTTCTGAGGTAAGACTTTAGAGTGGAAGTAGTGTAAAACACCGGGGCTTCCTGTTCAGGAGAGAAGGTAAGAAACTAAGACAGGGAAACAAGAACAAAAAAGGATAATGTGTGTGTTAGTTAGCAAATAAAGCTTAACCCTACTACAGGGCAGAACAGATCAGCTAACTCAGTTACAGCCCTAGAGAGGTCATTACAGGAGCTAAGTATCCAGCTTCCATGAGTCACTCCTCAAAGCTGTCCTGAAGGGAGATGGGCAACACAGGACCAGCCAACAGGTAGGTCAGTAACCTCTGCCTCATGGCACCTACTCCAGTCCTCACAGTCACAATCAACCAAGAGTCAAGACCAGTAACCAAAAAATTATTTACTCTTTGGTGCATGCCTTTCCTTAATCCCAGCACTGGGGAGGCAGAGGCAAGCAGATCTCTGTGAGTTCAAGGCCAGCTCAGTCTACACAGGGAGTTCCAGATCAGCCAGAGCTACATAGTGAGACCCCATCTTTAAAAATAAAAAAATCACATATTTCAGCGTATTTCACACTAAAAGTTACAGCATATTTCACGTTAAAAGATGTTATTAACATCCTTCTTAATTTGTTTACACAGGGACAATCTAGTTGGCTCACAGACTCCAGCTACTAGCTACTAAAGCTCACCTGAGCACCAGTCACAGTTCTCAGGGCAACACCCTGAGCATCAAAGGTCAAGCAAAGCCACTTATACCTGGGGGCATCTCTAACAAACACCTCACGATGCTAGAGACTTCAGTTTGGGGGGGGTTATCCCTATAATTTTGTTGTTGTTGTTGGTAATAGAAGGCCTTGCTATGTAAATCCTCCTGC